TCATTTTACAGTGACTCAGGCTAGGAGGCGGTTTTGGCCTGTGGAATAGGGATGAGAGTGAGATGCTGGTGCTGCTGAGAGAAATGACAGCTGCCAGAAGGCTTTAGAGCTTCTACCCCCCAAAAAGTGAAATTCTGAGGCTGTGTTCAAAGTGTGCATGTGATTTTGCACACTAGATGTTTGCGAAATACGTGCAGCCCCTAAATGTGTGCCCTACAAGTTCTGCTTTCTGCTCATCCACATGGCAAGTTTCCACATCCAAGGGCTCAGTCAGGCCAATGAACCCCTGCCATGTGTTCAGAACTCCCCAGGATGATCAGGACTCAGACTGTGCCATATGCTGGGAAATAGCTAGGCAGGCACTGTCTGGAGGGCTCAAACCAAAGTGTATGAGGTACAGTGCAGAGCCCTTCCTGCTCCTTGCCATGCCCCATTCCACCCATCACGATTCTAAATGCCTGATTTATCCTCCAACCAGCAAAGGTGGGTGTGAAGGTGAGACTGAAAGCTAATGTTCAAAATTTCTGAAAGTTATGCCTGGGAAATATCTTTTCTGGAAACACAATTCATAGGGATCTCAAGGTCTCTGCCAACAACAGACAGAGGAGAGCCAAGGGAAGGTTCAGTGGGCGCAAGCACAAGCCTGCTGCAGGGAGGAGCGACGACAGATGGATGGCAAGCCAGAGGTGACATCCCATCTGCTCCCACAGGATCTCCCTGGCACCTCCTGAGGGACTCAAGGAACACGTGGACAGAAATGACTAAGCACTAGCCACTGAGGGCTCACTGGTTATACTCCAGCATTATTTGTACCCACAAAAGAGAGCCGAGACTAAAACATCCCAATGAGATGCTCCAGACAAGGCTGAAAAAGGGTGGTAGGACAGCTGCTCAGAAATATGTATTTTATAGGGAATTTGGGGCAAGATTTTTAAATGCAAGACATATCTAGATGTTTGTGTCTCCCTCCTCCAAAGCATGCAGGCACTCAGGTGTCTTCACAAAGCACTGAGTGGAGATTTGGCCTGCACAAGTCCTGCAGACTCCACAGTCCACTAACTCCTTTATTTGCAGGGAGGAATCATCTTTCTGCTCTGCATATGTAGCCAGTATCCAGAAACCTCCTCCAGCAATTGCAGGGAGGTGCAGGCTGCTGTCGGAAGGAGCTGTGGGTGTGTGTGAATGAATGAATGAATGAACCATTCCTTAGCATCGGCACGAGAATCTCCATGATTTTTAGACTGCTAATTAGTGGTTGTAAGTGTGTTTGCAGTGGTAGGTGTTCACTTGCACGGTTGCAAAGAGAGGCAGGGAAGAAAGATAGCTATCCCTTGGGTTATGCTTTTTCTTTCCCAGCCCAGCTCCACATTTTAAACAGCAATTTTGAAAAGCAAAGGTCTGGATGTGCCTGGAAAGAGGTGTGTGAGGGGCTGGAGAATGAAAGACATCTTCTCCCAGCCTATCAGCCTCATGGCCCTCCTGATCGGGCACTTTTCACACAGGTGAAGGAAACTCATTGGTATGGGTGAGATAATTCTGCTTCTTTGGTTTTGCTCTTTCTGTCTCCATGCATTTGAGACTGAGTGATGTGAAGGGCACATTTGTATGGGCTAATGAGCATCACCATGATGCTGACAGACTTTGGTTTTCTTCATTCCCCCATTCCTCTGATATCACAAAAAGATCTTCCAGCTGGAGCAGCCTGGGGGTGAGGAAGGAGTCTGCTGAAAGGCAGGGAGAGGCAGGCTGGGGACATGCCTGGTTCTTGAGCAAGAGCCTAGCAGTTAGCAGGGTGCACCAAGTTAATGTCTCCCTGCTCCAGAGGAGTTGTGTACCATATCCAGTGATAAAGCTGGGAAGTAGGTCAGCAACATAACTGAGAGAAACGAGGAGCTTTAGGGAGAATTTCACAGCTGACAGCTAATTAAAATCTGAGTTCTACTGCTTACTGTTGCACCGATTAGATTTCAGCATGCAGGGTGAAGAGCATCAGCAGGGATTGTGTTTGCTGCAAGGGAGCCACTTGCCTCAGATCACACAGCTTGTGCCAGCTTGCACAGCGCCTTACACCCAGCAACTGCTGCCAAACCAGACCAAACTACTGGACACAAAAAGGTCTTCCCTAAACCAAATTATTTGGAAGTACTTCTCATCCAGTGTGTAGGTAATAAGTTCTTAAAGTGAAACCAGAACTATATACCAATAACTGTGGCAACACTTGTAACAACTCGTTGGTTTGTTGTTGGTCAGTTCATCACAGAGAACTTTTCAAATGGGTTTTGTGATGTTATCCATGTCTTACACCAAATCCCAAACAGAGAAATGTGGTTTCCTGTCCTTACTGGGGAAAATGGTGATGCAGAAATCTTATCCTTCCCACAGAAAATAAATAAATAAATAAGAAGGGAGGGGGGGATGGAGAGAGGGATGGATGGATGGATGGATGGATGGATTCTGGCTTGCTATTGTGCCAGCGGTGACATAAATTGCACACATGGCTGACCAGGTGAGAGGAGAAGGTGTAGGAAGGTGCAGGAGCTGGGAGTGTGGCTCTGCCTCTGTGGGGTTCACATTGTACCTGAGGGCCTAAGCACAGAGGGCTGCTCAAGGTCACTGGGTACTTGCAGCTACCAGATTGTGGGTCATTAGCTTTGGTCCTACTTTAAGTAGTTAAAGTGATGGAGTTTTTTCTAGAGGGCAGGACAACGGGTTCATCTGCTCCTTGCTGGTGCCAGCAGAGGGTGGAGGAGCCATTCAGGCGTTGCAGGAGGGGAGCTGCCCACTCTTGGGTCAGCCTGAGGTGCAGCAAGTCTACATTGGCTGAGTTCTCTGGAGCTGCTGGCTTCCTGCAGAATCTCCCATGGTCAACTATCTAGTTGAGCAAGGAAAGCCAGTTGAAGGTATCTTTTTAGACTTCAGTAAAGCTTTTGATAGGAAGCACCTTCCTACATCTTCCCACAGTATCCTCCTGGACAAAATGCCCATCACAGAAGTAGACAAAAATATAATCAATGGGTGAGCAATTGGCTGATGAATCAGGCCCAAAGGGTTCCAGCAAATGGAGTTATATCAGGCTGGTGGCTGGTCACTAGCAGGATTCCCCTGAGCTCCATTTTAGGGCCAGTTCTCCTTTGTGTTTTCATAAATGACATGGGTGTAGGACTAGAAGGTGTTTTGAGCAAGTTTGCTGACAATATTAATTTGGGAGGAGATGTTGACTCCACTGAGGGTGGAGAGGCCTCAGAGAGAGATCTAGACAAATTGGAGAGCTGGGCAATCACCAGCCACGTAATGTTTAACAGAAGTCCCCGATTCTGCACCTGGGGAGAAGAGCAGCCCTGGCTGTACGTACAGGCTGGGGGTGAGATGCTGAACAGCAGCCCCACTGAAAGGGACGGGGGGTTCTGGCTGACAGCAAGTTGTAGGAGCTAGCAGTGTGCCCTGGCACCAGGAGAGTCAACCTGGGGGGCACCAAGCCCAGTGCTGCCACCAGGCCAGCATGTCCCCTCTGCTCTGCACTGTGCAGCCTCATCTCCTGCACTGGCTGCAGTCCGGGTGCCACAGCAAAAAACGGATGTAAAACTATTAGAGAGCATCCAAAAGAGGGATGCAAAGATGGGGAAGGGTCTGTAGGACAAGGTGTATGAGGAGTGCAGAGGTCCCTGGGGTTCCTCAGCCCAGAGCAGAGAAGCTGAGGGGAGGCCTCATGGCGGCTGCAGCTCCTCACAGGGAGCAGAGGGCAGAGCTGACAGTGACAGGGCCTGAGGGAACAGCATGGAGCTGTCAGGGGAGGGGCAGCTGGGGGTTAGAGACAGGGCCTGCCCCAGAGGGCAGTGGGCATGGAACAGGCTGCCCAGGACAGTGGGCATGGCACTGAACTTGGCAGAATTCAAGAAGGGTCTGGACAACAGTCTCAGACATATGGTCTGCTTTTTGGCTCCTGTGTGGAGCCAGGAGTTGGATGTGATGATCCCTCGATGGTCGGGATGATGATCTTAGTGGTTGTTTGCAGCCTTAATTATTCAGTGATCTAATGGTTCTCTTCTTGGGTCCCTTTCAACTTGGGATATTCTATGATTCTATGATTCTCCCCGGTTCCACTGAACTCCTTTAGGAAAGAAGGCTCTGAGGGTTCAGTGTCTGTCCTGGATGTGGGCAGATGCAGAAGAAATTCCCAAGACACTAAATGACTGGAGCATCCCTTGATTGTCACCTCACAGCCCCATGACACCCACTGTCCTATGCAAACATCATGACACCGGGGATGTGATGGAAGGAGTGAACCCCAAACCTGGGCCCCTTGGGACTTTCCTGGCCTCTCTGCCTCCAGACAGTAGCAAAGGGGACTGCGACAGACACAGCAATGTACTCCTTGCATCCCACCGCCTATCTTACCATCCCTCCCAGGGTTCCCTAACCCAATGATAGAGGGAGCGGGGGGAAGGGGGGGTTGGGGGGCGGGTGGGAGGGGGGGCAGCGCTATGCCAGCTGCTTCCTTACTCTACAAGGTGCAAATGGGGTCGGACTTGCTCCGGCAGGCTGCAGGGCAGCCGGGGCTGTGGAACCGGGAGCTGGCAGGGCAGGGGGCAAGCAGGGCAGGGCTGGGGGCTGCCCCGGGCAGGGCAGGGCAGGGCAGGGCGGGCAGGACGGCCGGGGGTGGGTCCGCAGCCAGCCCTGCCTTTCAAAGTCCCTCGCTCCGAGGAGGAAATCGGGAAATATTTCCAGCAGCAATAGCGGCAGCAGCAGCAGGAGGAGGAGGAGGGCTGGAGCCGCGGAGGGGGGACGGCGGCTTTCTCCGCGGGGGGATGTGGAGGGAGGGGAGGCTGCCTGCGGGGCGGGCCGGCTGAGCGCATCCCCGGGGCTGCGCGTGTGTGCGCTTCTCCATCCATCCTTCCATCTCTCCCTCCCTCCCTTCTCCCTCCCTCCCGCCCGCCCGCCCGCCCGCTGCCGCCGCAGCCGCGCACCGGGGCTCCGGCAACCGCCTCGCGCCCCGCCGCGATGCCCCGCCGCTGCTGAGCCGGCCCCGGCCGCAACCGCCGCCGTCCCCCAACCGCCGCACCGCCAGGTAAGGAGCGCGACTCGCCGGCCCCCGCCCTACCGCATTCGGGGGTCCCCGATACCGAGCGGGGACGAGGTGGCCGGAGCCGTGCGGGAGCCGCCTGGTAAGCGGAGAGGTGGGATGCCGCCCCCCGCCCAGGGATGCTTTTTGCGAGCCGGCCGCGTACCTTGAGGCGAGGCGATGGGGCCGATGGCGACGTTGGGGGCGCCTCCCCTTACTCGGGAATGCGGGAGCGGAGAGCGGGCTGCGGCGAGCAGCCCCCCCCGGGGGGCTTCGGGCATCTGCCGCGGGGGGAGCCGCGCCCCCGCCCAGCAGCGCTGCGGGCTCCCCCGGGCCGGGCTGCTTTCCGCCAGCCCCGGGGTTTTCTGCCTCGAAACGCTTCCCGAGGTGAGCGATAGAGACACCTGCGGCCACGCCGAAATTCCCATTTTCCTCTCGAGCGGCACGCGTTCTGAAGGGCTGGCATGAAGCAGCATGCATCACGTAGGCTTTGTCTAGGTGGAAGCATGGCTCTTCCTTCATCTCTAGTTTAATTCTTCAATCGTAGCCTCGTTGCTTCCCTCCCGCCGAGCCATGCTAAGCAACCTCGCTCTCTGCTCTGTCTCCAGGGTGAAAGCAAACTGCCAAGATGTTGTAGAAATGCAGCAAGCGCTAGGGAGAACCAGTGTCTGGAAATGAAAGCTGTAGTAAAACCACAAGGTCACGGGCGTGTGGGTGCAAGCAGTTGATTTCAGGGTTCCTCTTGCTCATGCTTCGCTTGAAGCCTTTCCTCTGATCCCAGATGTTTGAAAGCTGTGAGGCAGGTGATGGGAACAGGGTTACAGAGAGGTTGAGGTTCTCCGCACACTCTGCCAGTTCCCGCTTTGGCTTTCTGATGCTTTTTCACCCCACCATGAAGAGAAGAGGTGTGCTTTTATTCAGAAGAGGGAAGCTGGGATGCTCGCACGTTGATGTGGTGATGGCAGCTGGGAAAAAACAGCTGTGCTGCGTGGCTTCGGCTGGGGCAGTGGACATCACCAAAGAAAGGCATTTGTGTTCACTTGGGTGCGTCTGATAAATGTTTCCATCTCCCTCTTTTCCATCCAGCTGGTTCTTTAATCACAGCTTTGCCCCTCTTACAGCATCGAAACCAAACAAAGGCACAGCCAAGCATTCGTACAGTCAGAACCCCCCCTGTGTCTCCCCAGGGAAGTTGATTCTTGGCCTGACTCCTCTCGTGCCCCACCAGCTCTTTTTCTCTGGAGATACAAACAGCTCCAAAGCCCAGGTTGGGAAATGCGTTGCTCAAAGCTCCCTTTGTATGAGGGTTTGTCTTCAAGATATTTGAGGATGCGCTCACTTTTCATCCTAGCATCCCTGAATGCCAACACCAAATAGCAGTTCTAAGCCAGTGAAATTTTGCCTGCTTCTTTCTATCCTGCCCTCATTGAGCTTATTTGTATATTTCCCCTGAGATGGCAACATTGGCTGTTCTGGGGCTGCCCAGACTGAACAGATTTGCTCTCTGGGCACTGCTGTACATGGCATGAGCTTGTCTCATGTTCCTGCTCTCAATGATGCCATGTAGGCACAACCACTTCTCTGGTTGCCCTGGCCTTTCTTTTGTGGTGTCCCACTCTGCTCAGGGCCATCATGGTTGCAGTTTTCTAGCATTCCATGTAGGACAAATGTTGGTTTTCTGCTCTGTCAGTACTGCCAGCTTATAGGAGAAAAGCCTCTGTTCTCCAGCATCCCAATGAAATTCAAATCTTATAATAAAACCCAAGGCACTGGCATCACCAGAGGACCACCAAATTCCTCCTGGCCAACACAAATGATTGTGTTATGGACACCACAAGCAACCTGAGCAGCCTAAGTGCTGGGTGCTGACTGCAACCTCTCCAGCTATTTTCAGGAAACTCAGAGGAACTCAGCTTTCTCTGTTATCTCTACCCCCTCTGGCAAGTTTAGCTGAAATTGGGTGGGGGGGGGGGGGGGGGTGGACAGACAGACATGGAAAGTGTGATTTCATAGGCCTGGCTTCCTAAGGAGATTTGCTGTTGCAGAGATGGAGAAGGTGGGCAAAGTGGGGTGGAGGGGTGGCCAATCCTGACGTGAGGTAAGCCTGGCAGAAGTGGGGCCTGACCTAGTGGCACTGGGGTCGGCTGCCTTTCCTGGGATCTAGAGATCTAAAATCCAGGTGGAGCTGGGAACAGGGGAGGGGTCCCCAATTCCTTCTCTCCTTCCTGCCGTGGAGCCCAGGAGAGCATCCCACATGCAGCTGCCAACCCGAGGGACAAGTGGGCACAGGCAGGCACAAGGAGAGCAACAGGCCTGCTAATTCCTCCTGTCCTATGGTAGCCCTCATGTCTGGGCAGATGATTCCTCCCCCAGGCTACCCGGGAGCTCCGGGCTTGTTGACAGCATTTTATCCTCTAAACAGTCATTTTATAGTGGGAAAGGATGCTGCTCGATAAAGAAAAGACAAAAAGGCACTGTGAGGATAGGGAAATGGTTTGAAGACAGCAGCAGTGAAGAGGGGAGATGTTAAAAAACAACACCACAGCACAAAAAGAAATTAAGGATTTCTCCCTTGCTTCTCATTTCCTGGCATTTTCCTTGTGTATTACAGGGAAAAGGGACAGCTCGCCACTCGGTCTCCATGCATTAAAAAGCAAAGCTGGAGTTTCCCTCACAAACACTCCTAAGCTCATTCTTTACAGGCTTGCCCCCAAATTCAACCAATCTGGCTGAAATTTTACATCGGGGCCGCTTTGTTTTCTCTATTTATCTGTTTATTTTGGAAAGTTGCTGGGGAGATTGTAGGAGGGGATTGGATGCTGTATGCAAGAGATAGATAGGATACTTGGAAAAATCAGTCGCAGACTGATAATTATTCTAACTTCTTAATGGCCTTTACAGAAAACAGGGTGGTCTGTTGTGTATTTTACTCAATTGGCTTCGTAAAGGGCTTGTGCCTCTGACTATATTTGGAAAGGTTTTGATGGTTTTTGTACTGATGCAATCAGGATGCTGACGGCCTGGAAATCATTTTCCTGATGTGGAGATCTGGAGGGTCATGGGCAGGGAATGCCAACAGCTTCAGCATGGCAGAGCTGGGAGAAAGAAGAAGGAGCAGGGCTGCGAGCCAAGGGCTTTCCAAGCTGCATTTAAAGTGACATCGCACTCTGCTGCGCATTTGGACACAGCAGCTCTCCTCCATGGGTTCAGATGTCTGCCCAGCATGGTATTCAGCTCCTTCTCCTGCTTGGATGGGTAAAAATCACAGCTTGCAGGAGCTGCACCATAGGGCAGTGTCCAGATCAAGGCTGTTGCATCCCTTTTGTGTCCCTCAGCTTCAGGAAGCTGGATGTAGGCTCCTTGCTGATTTCCTGATTGATTCTCAGAGCTCAGACAATTTGTTGGTGCTTTTTCCTACAGTCATCACATCTTTTCCCAGTGCAGGATCTGCTTGAGCCACTCTGCTGTAAATCACATTGCTGCTTTCAACAAGGTGCAGGTGTGCAGGATGCAGCACGGCTGGGAAGGGTCAGAAGGGGGGGTGGAGGAGGCTGTTAGTCCTCCAGAGATAGTCCTCCGGAGAGACAAGATAGATGCCGTGGAGGTGAAGTGTTTGCATTTGACTGCAAGACAACCTGGGAGAAGGGTGTGAGGATTTGAAGAAGTCAGGTTTCAAACAGTGCTGCTCCCATCTTGCACTGGTGGCACAGCCATAGGAATGCTGTACAAACTGGCAGCAAATTCACCATCATGCTGACGGTACAGTGGGGCAGGCACGGCTGGGTATCTGTCTGTGGTGCTGGCTGTAATGATGTGAATGCCACTGGGTTAAAGCTGCTATGTGTTGCAGAATGTTTGCTGTCGAATGCTCGAAAAATATTTCCCATGGAAAATCTTTTTGTGCGGCCACTCCTTCCCCGTGAACCCAACCTTTCTTGCCCAAATCCTATACCAAAGGCATCCATGCTAGCAGTATTATTTCAGTGCTCTGAATAGCAATGCTGCCTGTTGCAGTTGGTTGCAAACCTCATCACACAAAGGTGCAGGGTCTAAAAGTAGACATGGTAAGGGCGAAGTGCCCAGATGGGGACTTTGGAGAGGCTGCTGCAGAGGAAAAGCTGTGCATTGCTGAAGCTCAGAGCAGCTTTCAGGCTGGCTTTGCATGCAGCAAGCAGCCAACCTGAAGGGAATGATCCCTGCCAGGGAATGATCAAAGAGGGGTCCCAAAAGCTGGTTTCTCCTGAGCTGCAAGTTAAAGCACGAGGTAGGAACATGAGTTCTCTCCTACCAATCTGTAACGCCCAGGTCTGGGGGAAGAACTCAAGCTCCCTTTTCCATCCAAAAGGCAAATCTCTCTGCAACCCTCATACCCTCACTCTGTGCAAAAGCTGCTCTCCTGGGGTTTTACAGCCCTGAAGGCAGGAATAAAAGCTGGACAAATGTCCTTTGGCTGGGGTCTGGATGGAAGCTGAGCTTGCCTCGAAGGGATCACACATTCCTGCAGGCTTTCCCCTCTGACTATGTGAAAGCTGCTGCTAGTGCCTTGGGAGCTTCTGGGGAGCCGAGCTGGGGGCTGGCTCCCAGTTAGCTCCAGCTCTACTTGAAAGACCCCAGGCACCGGATCCAAGGAGAAAACAAGCTCTGGGTCTGCTTTGTGGTGTAAGGGCGATGCTTATTGGCAGGGTTGTGCCGACCCAGGGTGGTGGCTTGTGGCTCGTCACCACACAGCTCATGCAGCCAGCTCATGCGTTTGCTTTTCTTGTTGATGGCCTGGCTGGGAAATGCAATTGAGACACCTTAATGAAAAGCTAGCAAAGTCGGCTTTGAAGGGAGAGCTGGCATTCTAGTAGCCTTGCTTCTTGATACAGAATAATATGAATGATTTGTCTGGGAATATTCCTACCACTGCCTCTGCAGCAGCGTGCTGACCATGGGCCGAGACCCCGTGCAAATGCGGAGCAAGAGGGTCTCTGGGGACTAAGCTGTTTATTTTGGATTGAGCAAATAAAGAAACACTGCTAATTTTATAGCAGCTGCTTCTCTGAGAGACTTTGCGTGTCAGACTCCGGTTGTGTACGCATAACCAGTGTGTTGTGGCCAAGCATTTTCTAACCCTCCATAATTTCTGAGTCTGGTGTTAATAATATTGATTGTGAATTGGTTCCAGAAGGAATGGGGGAGAAGAGGAGGCGGGTTGTAAATCTTCCTTGATGACTGCATCACAGAATGTTGGAGTGACCAGTGCAAAGTTGGGGGACGCTATGGCCACTCAAAGAAAGCCACTTGCACATTGCCAAGGCTGGCGTATTTTTCCTTATTAAGGTCCAGCACTTCTCCACTCATCTGAGCCCTCCAGAAAAGTCCCACATCTCTTGTCTCTGGAAGTCTAAGGGAAAAATGTTGTTTGTACATGGAGAGCTGCATGGGAAGGCCAGAAAGATGGACTGTTCAGATGCAAGCCTCTAGGCCTCTGTTCCTCCCGTTTAACAAAATGTGGGACTTGATCAAAAGAAAAAAAAATGTAGTAGAATATTTGAAAGAGAAGAAGATGGCAAATAAGGTTCGAGTGACTTATTAATCTGATTTAGTGGGTGGGGTTTTTTTTCTTTTTTTTTTCTGGCTGATAATTCCAGTGCTCAAATCCTTTTAAGACGGCAGAGTTGGTCTAAAGTGTGATGGGACTCTCCTATTCTTTATGACCTAAATCAGTGACCCAAAGCATAATATTTTCTCTAGAACCATCTGTTTTCTCCTCTTGCCAAAGGGATTTCACAATGCCTGGTTGCTCTGAATAATTGTACATGTACAAGGATATAACTTGCCACAGGGAGAAAATTAACTAAACAAGGGCAGGTGGATGTTTTGAATTTTCTGCTGAAACTACTGCCCTTTAGAAAGAGATGGTGAAGAACCACAAAGATAAGTGATACTTTATGCCCATACTATTTTTTTCTTAAGCATGCATATTTTAAAATAATACTAACAATAAAGAAGCACTTAGGAGATATCTGGGATAAACAGATTAGATACTAAGTCAGCCTGTGTTTCCCTGTATCAAACATCTCCAAGACGTGCTTTAAAGCAGCATGAAACACAGTCAGGATTACAAATGTTGGGTCATGCTTTGGCTAAACTTCAGTGACCATGAAAGCATTTCAACTTAGCTATCCACCAAATGGCACGCAACAAGTAACTCTTCTTTACAAATATCACATTTTCAGCTTTTTACTTCAGATCTGTGAATGACTTGTGCCTGCATTCTGAGAAGCAGAATGTGCACAGGATTAGAGACTTCTGACTCCAGCAATAAGAGCTTTTCATAGCATCTTGTTCATCTTATCTGTTCTTAGCACCTAACTCTGTGAATTGCTCACTTCCTGTTCAGTGTATCCTTTTCTTTACTTAATTAGAAAACTGAAGGAGTGGATTGTGGCACAGGCCAACAATTCCCAGTGAGGAGATGTCATTTACATAAAACTGTTTTAATATATTTTCTGTATTATTCTTCCGTATCAATTATCTACTACAGCATCCTTCAATAAAAGCAAACCGAGCAGAGGAAATTCATCCCTTGTTACGACATCTCTTTGAGGAGTAGATTCTGTAGCGTGGGTGCAAGATGGTACTCACTCCTCCAGACAGTTCTTCATTTGCACGCAGCCTGTCCCTGCATAACAAGCCCCTGCCCTGATGGGGAGGGATGATTTTGGCATCACAAGGAGATGAGTGGTGGTGATCAGGCACTCTTCTTTAAGTAGGTGTTGGTGTGTCCCTGCTGAGGAGGATAAATGCATCTCCCTGGAATGCAGTCAGCAGTGTGGGGTGTGGAGCCAGCCTTGCTCCCAGCTGTGCTGAGAAACAAGCCCTCCTCACGAAGGAAAGGAGAGGCGCACTTTGCCACCTCACTCAGGTCATACCTAGGTGCAAGTGACAACTGTGATGCAGCCTTTAACTAATCTATAGCTCCAACTGCATGCAGCTGTACATCTGGTGCTAAGTGACATGGCTTAGTGATGGTCAGGTTGATGGTTGGACTTGATGGTCTTGAAGATCTTTTCCAACCTAGATGACTCTGTGAGACTGTGACCTGTTGGACCTCCTCTGTGTTTACCAGAGACCAGGCAGATGGCATGTGGGGGGCAAGACCTGCCAGGCATGGCAATGATGCTGGTTTGACCTCCTGCTTATGTCACTGTCTCTGGTATGAACAGGTCTGGAAATACCATCCTTCTCTTAAAAAATTGAAGTCTTCCACAGCTTTGCTCTTTTCATGTTTGTTTCTGGAGTGTTGTTTTTCTTTTTATGAGCAAAACCAATTTGGCCTTTTGTAGGCTACAGCAAAGTAAAGGTATTGACGTGCTCATTTCCTTCTCTACATAGAAATGTTTGTAAGTACTGTGTGATTAAATTAACTTGGAATGGAGAAATATAGTATGACAAAGGCTCTCCTTGAGAAGAAAATATAGCTTTAATAACTTCTATTGCTTAGTAAAATTGAGAATTTAATGCTGAGCATGCTCAGGTATTTGCACTAAGGATCTCTATGTACTTAAAGACATCTGGTCTGTAGCTTTATGCACTGTTAACTAACTGCAAACCTCTTTAACAGCTCCCTGACACTGCTGGAAAATCCTGAGGCAGGACAAGGGCAAATACTGCTGTCATGCTTGGTGACTGATGTTGTAAATGGAGTGAGAAAGGCCCTTGCAGGGGAAGCCAGCAAAGCTGACCTAGTGGGAAAAGAGTGTAAGGACAGGTTTCCTCTTGAAGCATGCCAAGATAACCATGCTTGGATGCATATGGGGCTCTTTCCAGTTTCAGGAAGGTGCAAAGTGATGCACTGTGGAAGAAATGGCTCCAAAATCATTAACTAAAGACTGCCCTTCTGGTGTGCCTTATGACCAAAATACCATTAAGAACAAGATTTTGACAAAGCTTGAGCTTGCTTTGTACGGATATAGAGTAGATGCCTGGGAGGACTGTGAGAAGACAGAAAAAAAGACAAGAAAAGACTGTAAAACATGTGCTTTACAAAGATATTTGAAAAAATGATTGGAGGGTAGTAGATCTCCCTGTCATCTTCTACTCTCACCCTGACGTCCAGTGCGTAAATGCTCTGTAACTTTGAAATACGAAATACTTCTGCTAGCTGTTAAGTTGAATGATGGATTCTAATTAGATGGAAACCAATAAAATATAGTAGAAGAAATCGGCTTCCGGCAAAGAGAGAGAAAGAGGCATTAAACAGCGGTATAGCTGAAGGAGGTAGGTACTAGCCCAATGGTAGCATCTGATTAAGTCCTTGTTCAGATAGCTGATCTGAAGATGATTTGTACATGGAAAACTGCAGTGGTCATAATACAATTAGGGCTCATTAAATGGGTCTTCTTCAGCAACAGGGTAATTTGATTATACATTTGGGAAAGGTGGAAAAGAATTGGATGGAGAGGAAGATCTGTTGTCTCTTGCCAGCCTCAATGTGTCTTTCCTTTTGTCTCTGCAGGTTGCGAACGTGTGGGAACTGCTGAGTGGAAGCGGCCATGTCGCAGACAACTCACTCACCCACCTTCCTGGTGAACTTCCAACTGCTGAGCATTGTGGTGGTGCTGCTCTTTCATGCAGACAGCATACACGCAGAAAGTCCCAGTGAAGTGCCTGCAAACAAATCTGAGGTGTGCACAGGCTCATACATCTGCAAAAAGGGTGTGATCTTACCAATATGGGAACCCCAAGATCCCTCATTTGGTGACAAAATAGCTCGAGCAACAGTGTATTTTGTAGCAATGGTGTACATGTTCCTGGGAGTATCCATCATAGCTGACCGCTTCATGTCCTCCATTGAAGTCATCACATCCCAAGAACGGGAAATAACCATCAAGAAGCCCAATGGCGAGACCAGCAAAACCACAGTGAGGATCTGGAATGAGACTGTTTCCAACCTCACACTGATGGCCTTGGGCTCATCCGCTCCTGAGATCCTTCTGTCTGTCATTGAAGTGTGTGGCCATGGCTTCACAGCGGGGGACTTGGGGCCAAGCACAATTGTGGGGAGTGCTGCATTTAATATGTTTGTCATCATTGCAATCTGTGTTTATGTTGTTCCTGATGGAGAAATAAGGAAGATCAAGCACTTGCGAGTGTTTTTTGTTACAGCAGCCTGGAGCATCTTTGCCTACACTTGGCTTTACATTATTTTATCGGTGTCTTCTCCTGGGATTGTGGAGGTTTGGGAAGGCTTGCTCACCTTCTTCTTCTTCCCAATCTGTGTAGTGTTTGCCTGGATAGCTGACAGGAGGCTTTTATTTTACAAGTACGTCTACAAGAAATACCGAGCTGGCAAACAGAGAGGCATGATCATTGAGCATGAGGGTGACCGACCCTCCTCCAAAGCTGATATTGAGATGGACGGAAAGGTTGCTAATTCTCATGTGGAGAACTTTTTAGATGGGACACTGGTGTTGGAGGTAGATGAAAAAGACCAGGATGATGAGGAAGCCAGGAGGGAAATGGCTCGGATCCTGAAGGAACTGAAACAAAAGCACCCTGACAAGGAAATTGAGCAGCTTATAGAGTTGGCCAACTACCAGGTCCTAAGTCAGCAGCAGAAGAGCAGGGCTTTCTATCGCATCCAGGCCACTCGACTTATGACAGGAGCTGGCAACATCCTGAAGAGACATGCTGCAGACCAGGCCCGCAAAGCTGTCAGCATGCATGAGGTCAACAGTGAGGTGGCAGAAAATGATCCCATCAGCAAGTTATACTTTGAACAGGGTACCTACCAGTGTCTGGAGAACTGTGGTACCGTTGCCTTGACCATCATTCGACGGGGTGGCGATTTGACCAACACAGTCTATGTTGACTTCCGGACAGAGGATGGGACGGCCAACGCGGGCTCTGACTATGAATTCACTGAAGGGACAGTGGTCTTCAAGCCTGGAGAGACCCAGAAGGAAATCCGTGTTGGCATAATCGATGATGACATATTTGAGGAGGATGAGAATTTTCTGGTCCATCTCAGCAACGTTCGCGTGAGCACTGAGGCAGATGAGGGTATTCTTGAGGCCAGTCGTGTCTCCACGCTTGCCTGCCTGGGCTCACCGTCTACTGCCACTGTCACCATCTTTGACGATGACCATGCTGGCATATTCACCTTTGAGGAACCAGTAACACATGTCAGTGAGAGTGTGGGGACCATGGAGGTGAAAGTGTTGCGAACCTCCGGTGCACGAGGAAATGTTATTGTGCCCTATAAAACCATCGAAGGCTCAGCCAAAGGTGGAGGAGAAGACTTTGAAGACACCTGTGGGGAGCTGGAGTTCCAGAACGATGAGATAGTGTAAGTGGAGGTTTTATTTGTAATTTATAGTCTGTCATTCTCCTGAAATTAAATGCATATGTCTACCAGAGCTGCACTGGTGTTGTGCAGATGCCAGTGTGTTACAGCAAGCTTTGAATGCTCTTGTGTGCTTTTGGGAGCCTGAAATGCTATGGTCCTGCTTTGCTAGCAGGTTAGAGAGTTGTGCCTACTCAGAGGCTCTCCATTCTCCCAGGAACAGAGTGGAAGCAGTTCTCTATACCTTTGGCTCTATAGCGGAGGAGAGAACACCAAGCTGTCTGTTACCCTCCAGTTCCATGAAGTTACCTGTCTAAATCAAGAGTGTGAGTTGTGGTAACTGCATCCACTTGCCTGAGTTCCTTGGGGTCTGTGCCACTGATACTCCTCCCTTCAGTGCTGCTGGATTTGGAGAAGGTCACTTCTTCTTCCTCCTTTTTTAAGGACTGTGGGCTTGGGTGACTGTCTAATGCATTTCCTGAAAAAGTATTGTCATGAAGAGAAGCTTTATGGTTAGGATGCAAGTGGAGCCATATCTGGCTGTTTGCAAATTATTAAAAGATGAATGTCTACTGATGAAGTATTGCTAGGTGGCTAGTGGAAAAACTGTGCTCTGCCTTGTTTATCATGTTATGCTGAGAATGTCTGTTAACTCAGTAAATCACAGCTGAAAAAATTTGTCCTTTGGTATGTTTGAAAGACATCATCTTGCCCAGCTGTGGCTCTGGGAGGGCAAGAGTTTGGAGATGTGTTGCCCCAGCATCAGATTCCTACTGCATTGAAGTCTGTGCCTGTAGACCACACCCTGCCAACAGTAGACACGGTAGCACAGAACCACTGCATAGGACTCAGAACAGTCCTAGATAAACGGCACTGCTGTGTCAAGAGAGACCTAAACAGTGGCTTGGATACTGCATCTTGCACAGCTGGTCCTTTGGGAGCTGGGGCTGACCCAAGGTGACTGTGAAGAGTAGGCTGTATGTTCTCTCCATTATTCATACTTTCTCCATGTGAACAGGGAGAATGACACAGTCAGAAGAATCGTAAAACTGGAAGCAACAAGAAATAAAAACACGATTCGTAAGTTTTAGACAGGGTATTAGTAACCAGATCGTGTTTCAACTTCTCAGAAATAACTAAGCAAGAACTTCACAGCTCCAGCACTCTGGAGGCCAAAATGTGTATGTTGTTCTTGCTAGGGTCAGGAGCACACAATACACTACTTCTCCTGGACCAGGCTCCTGAGCAATAGTCATAGTAGACAGGAATCTAGTTACTGGATTTGATTTTTTTCCTTGTAGGAGACATAGGGAGGTATCTGCAGAGATGCAACGAACTAGTATATAAGAATATCCACCAAAGGCTCTTTAGTTTTTAACCAAATCACTACCAGCAAAATGTGACTGCCAGCAGGAAGACCTTGACATTTGTTTCACTTCCCCTTTGTCTTGGAGTGAGCGCTCTGGCTGAGATCTCTGTGCCATTCTTTATTGAAGAGAGATGGCATCACCTGCATCCATGCTTCCTGTCTGAGCTCAGCTCATGACATGGGGCCAGGCAGTGGGACTGCTGCTGGTGGACATTCCACCCAACTCTTATCTGCTGGTTTTTGCTGAGAGCCTAGTGAGCAGGTAGTAGGCTGGAAGTGGGCTGGCCACATTCTGCCACTGCAGTTCCCTGACCTCTCAGGAAGAACTGCTGTGTCTTTGTCACTGCAAGCCTTCTCCTTCCTTTTCTAACCAGTCATCTATATGCACACACCATGCAAGAAATGGGAAAAAAAGCTTTCTTAGAAAATTGAGTGTGTTTTTTTTTCTGTGCAGATGCCAAGGTATTGCTGTTATATCTCTGTTGTCTTTAAACCATTTTCTGCTGATACTATAGGGACAGTACATGGGAAGCACCAGTGTGCACTTTAGGATTGGCAGCCTAGAGCAGATGAGAGCTTGGGGCTTATTTCATTCAGGTTGGAGAAGACATGCATGTATCTTATATTTTGGGAGGTTGATGGCACCGATTTTACAAATTGCCATCTGCCCATGTGCTTGGCAGGCAGTAGGCGTTTTTCTGAAGCATAACTACTACAGTCCATGTTCAGGTGTTGGATGGTATGATCTGACTTGCAGAAGAGCTCCCACAAGTCCGTGTTTGCCTGGGTGCAAGTTAAGGACAGCTCTGAAGCACAAAGGCAAATCTGGTCTTGAAGCTGAGCTGCTGCTTATAGGTATTCTGCCCTTGCTTTGATGGGAATCAAGATGTGCTAGCACAGTATGTGGGTTACAGAGATAAAGCCTGTTTACTACGTCACTGGCTGTTGGTGCGGTGCTTCAGCTAAATCACAGCTATGTAGAGTGCTGCCATTCTGCACTATTTGACTCAATAAAGTCAAAGTTCTAAAACTTTATTTTTTTTTTATATTTCCCATGCTTGGCTGGCCAAGAAATTGCTTTGCTGCCCATTCTAAATGTCTTCAGTGCTTCTTCAGCTCTGCCATTCTAGGTGTATCGATCAGCTCAATAAAATTGAGCAAGATACGTTTCTCTGGGATGCTAACAAAGAGGATAGAGCAAGTGCAGGAAGGTGAGAAGGTGAAAGAAAACAGTGTGGAAGACTGTATTTAAATTAGAGCACTGGCTTGCTGGTAAGTCCCAGTAAAATTAGGAAGTGCTGGGAGAGCCTGGATCTCCTGGAGATCTCCCTCCAACTCCCAAAAGGCCCAGTTACATAACATGTTATTTGTTAGTGGATACCAGAGAGAATTTCCCATTTTGCAATCTGTTGATGTCTCCTTTCTCAGAATATACAAAACTGCAATGTAAATGCTGAAGCCACGCCTCTGCTGAGCATTTCAGCAGATCGTCCCAAGTTATGTGGGAAAGCTATAGATGTCCAACCTGCATCTCAGTAAAGCCAGCATCTCAGTGATGCTGCACAGGGACCTCTGGTGTGAGACATACATTTAGGACAAGGGGCTATGATGTAAAGTTTAAGAGAGACCCTTTCCTCTGGGGCCACCTCAGCAAGGTGTCTCTGGCCTTGTCTTGCCTCTCTGTTGATGAGTAAAGCTTTCTTTATGAGAACGTGGACTAGTAAGTGGACTAGTAAGACGTGCAGTTGCAGGTTTTTCCTGCACATCCATCTGCTGCAGGTATTGTAACCATCAAAGAGGTCAGAGGTTCATCTAGCCAGTGTATTTTTATCCCCTGATGGAATGCCAAATAGTTCAAAAGGAATCTAGCCTCCTTTCTTGGAGGAGGAAGCAATCTTTTTTGCAGCTGATGGGATCTCTTCTCCTTGCTGTCTTGAAACATCAGGAGGAGCGTCTCTTCCAGATGTGATTGCAGAGCTGCAAGAAAACTACATGTTCTTTCACAGTCAAGAAATAGCAGCTTTTCTAGAGCTGTCGTTGCAACTAGAGAACTATTACAACCTGTACTCCAGATGTCTATCTCCCCCTGAGTATCGAGCAGAAAAATTTGTTTTGCAGTTAAAAGTGAGGAAGACGTTAGACTAAATTATACAGATAACCAATTCTACGCGTACTTCAGCTATGCTGTATAAATGCATGTACAATCTTTTATTAATATATCTTGCTGCTTAAAATGTATGGTTTCGTTGTTTTTCTAAAAGGTGCCTGCTGCTGGTTTAGGGAGGGAAATTCTTGCCCATCGAAAGTTTCTTGTCCAAGCCAGCTTTGGCATTTCTCTGGAAGTACAAATCTAGGACGGTGACATGACATAAACACTTGCTAAACTCTCTGATTTGTATGGAAAAGATCCCCAGAGTGAATGTCTCTCCCAAGGGCTCTTTAAAAATGCCAGTGTCAATAAATATAGATTGTGGCGGGAGGGGGAAACCAAGTAGTACTGCTTTTTTAAGTTCTCCTTTTCTTTTCCAGAAAAAGTTGAGTGAGGTATTTCTACAGAAATAGCAAAAATAAAATCCTGGCTCACCCTTCTCTAGCTCGGCTTTGCATCTGTGACTTGCAGCTTCAGGAGATTAAATGAAACCTCCAGCACTGCCAGCCTTACGGTAGAATGCGGTTGAGGAGCAGGGACCAACCCAGTGTGGCAGAGAGTTTGGTGTGTAAATGAGGCTGAAGGTGAATCAAGCCAACATTCCGCTTTCTGTTTTTTGTCATCAAATGCATTGTTTCTCTCTTTCTCTCTTTGTTTGGGTTGGTTGGCGTGCGTTCCCTCGCAGGCCCTGGTTTGCACAGGGTTCATTGCTGGAGGCAATGAGGTAGCAAAACTGACCAAAGATTAAATTTATTCATCTGGCTTCCACTGCCCAGCTTGGGCTTTGAAGCGTATTTTCCCCTTGCCGGCAGCAGTCCTACCTGGCTCGGTGGGATTTGCACGCAGCTCAAATACAACTACCAGGACCTAGATCCTGGGATCTCGGCATGAGCAAGTGGATCCAGCCCACTGGGGGTGGCACAGAGCACGGTAGTATGTCACAGGGGCTTGCTTCCCTTTCCAAGGGAGTTTTGGGAAGTAGAAGTTCCCTAGGGCTGAAATGCAGCTTTTCTTTGGGTCCTGAGCTGATTGTCCCTTCTTCAGCAGGGAAAGATGCAATTATAATAGGATAAGCTCTCTCTTCTTTTTCTCCTCTCTGTTGACACGTTTAGCCTTTCCTGAATGCTTTTAAGCTGCTGTGCTTGTGTCTTAGTTGTACAGCAGAATGCCATTTTAGGAGACAGTAGGGAAGTAAGGCCATGTAGTGTGGAGTTCACTGCTTTGTGCTTTGCAGATTGATACCACTATGTAGGAGGAAGAAACCAAGCAAGCTTCTTCAGGGGGATTGATCTGAATTTTGGCTTCCCAGTGTGCTTAGGGCAGTTTGAGTCTTCCAACACTGAGCAAAATGAAAGCACTATGGGGCTAGGCATTTGGCATGAAAGAAAGGAAATTCACCGCTAGTTGAAAATGAGAGTCCATATGGCTTTACCATTCAGGAAGCCTTTCTGAACTGAGGGCAGAAATACCCTGAGGGTGGCAACT